CCCCCCCCCCCCTCCTCGCTCCTCTTCCTCCTTCCTACCCCCTTTTTTTTTTCTTCCCTTTATCTGTCATTCCTCTCCGTGCACAGATGGACCCGTGCTCCAGAACCGCCCTCCCTCCGTACGAGAATTTGATCCCGTGGAACTATTTGATACGGCGCTGCACTGCGGTTATCTAATCATTTTTTGGGTTTTTTTTGGGAGGGGGGGGGGGGTGGGGGGGCGGAAGCAGGAGCAGCGACAAAGCGGGCCCCCAGAAGAGAGAGACCACACCCCCATTACGGGAAGTTGGGGGGTTTAAAGGCACAGGCCTCCTCTTTCGCCCCCCCAAAAGCCCCAACCCCCCCCCCCCCCCCCCCCCCCCCCTCACGCCCCAAACCCCCCCATACCCCTTCTTTCTTTTAATCCCGACCATGAGCTTTTGGAATCCAGTTTTATTCAACACAGAAAAGTACAAAAGCACACTTATCAAGTAAAGCATAGCATGCGTCTCTGACATTCCACAAGGCTTCCAAAAAATGTAAACATCAGGCAGAGGGTGTCGCACAAAAAAAGGAGCGCGGGGGAAAGTTTTCGGTACGATAACGCGGCCTCCCGGTCGCGTACAAACGACGCGGATTCAGCGTATGACAGTCTATACGGCGGCGGGAATGAAAGATGGCGTTCATTACACGGCTTCCAATATAAACGCGATGTACCAAACAGCCGAGGGCTGCGAAGTGCGCAGACTTCTCCGAGCCAACAAATTACATATTGATTCGGAAAATTGCTCAATAGTCATTTGCAACTTGTGAATTTGGATGCAGATATGAAACCCCGCCAGATCTGATAAGCGCCCGCCGCCAGCTTCTGGGTTTCGGAGGTCTAAACCGCTGACCTATGGTGTGCTTTTTTTTTGGTTTTTACTGACTTTATATTTACAGTTGCTGCTATAAAATCTGAACTACGTCATTGTAAGTGATGTTAAAGCTTTTTTCTGTAGGTGGGGGACAATCTTCACTAAAGGGAATGAATTTGATCTATAATTTGCATTTCTAATTTCATGTATTTATCACTCAGTGATTTTAAGTACTACACATGGGAGTAGTACTCAGCCGTGCAACGCTGCTATTAATGGCTTCATAGTGAGTCTCAGAGCCGGGCAGGAAGGGGAAGGGATTCTCTCGCTCTGTTTGGTTGATTTTTTCAATTTTTTTTTTTACATTGTGGTTATTCTGTTTATGCAACGTGAAGATAACGGTCTTCTGGCCGCGTTGTAAAAATAAAAACTGCAGCTAGCAATGACGAGGCGCGCCCAAAAGAAAAGGATGTACGGAGAGGAAGTCGGTGAGGTTGTGAAGTAAGTAACACCTTTGGTGATTCCTCATCAGACAACACACAACCCTAGGCCAGTTCCCTCAGAAAGAGCAGAGACGACCACCTCAATCTGGTGAGCAGCTGTCTTGTTAAAATGTGTAAAAGGCTGAAAAAATAAAAAAATCAACCCAGCGCTCAAGTTTAGACGAGGCAATTGAATCAGTGACTGAGCGAACGATAAGATGGTCATCACTGTAAAATGGAAAACGTCAAACTGTAGAGGTGTTTTATTTATATTTTTGTGTCTTTTCGATATGTTTCGTTTGTGCTTTTACAGAATCAAAAAGCTGAATTTTCTCAGCTTTTTGCACCCCAAATAAGGTCAGTGCGCAATCATACTGTATTTGTATTCGAATCACGGACCTTAAGATACTTTTAAAAGGAAATGACATAAAAGTGCTGTACCAAAGAGGCTATCGGAGGACAGTCAGGGACTTTCCTTTTTAACTTTTGAATATGGTAGGGTTGGCAGAGGCCGTACTGTACCAGCTAGCTACTGAATTTGGTATCATACTATGAAAATCCAGGATTCTGAACAGTTTATGGACTTGGATGACACAAATATTCTGACATTTTAACTTGTGACCGAATGTTGAGGAGAACCTGAAAGTGGCACATATTAGCCTAAGTGCTAAAAATGGATCTTTAGATGATGAGTAGATCTTGAAAATAATATATTTCTTCTTTTTTATCCAAACCTGTAAGGATAGATTGTTGGCTTATTAGTTTAGAAACCACAAAACTTGCCTCAGATGTTTATAACCTTTTTCTAAACTGTTACTCTCTCACTGTCAAATTGCCATAGGAGGAACAAGAAGGAGTGTAAAAAAAACTGCACATTCTGTTATCTCTTCCTGTTCCTGACCATGTTGTCCTCATGCCTAAACATAGCAACAGGTTAAAGTTAAATGAAAAAAAACACAAAGCCCTCACACAGTCACAAAGAATTAACAAGATTGTCTGTCTCAGGTTAAAATAGATGAAAAGCCTAAAACATCCGTGCAAAACTGTGCCGACGCTCCACTGATCTAACTTTTTTTTGTGCTGGTCTCAGGGCTGCACAAACGGGGAATCATTTAGATCCAAAGCTAGCAAAGTATAGGGAAATGTGTTCCCTTAAAACATTTTTAAAAACCCACGCAAACACACCATTTACTCAATTTGCTCACTTAAGTGGGTAAGTTTGGTTAGTTCCACACACTGATGTATACGCACTAATGACAATGACGTCTCCTGACTTATTCCACCATTAGCCCTCCAGGGTCTGACATCATTTTTAAGAGTTTAAAGGTTTTTTTTTGTGTGTTATTATTGCCGCGAGGTGGTTATCTTTGGACAAAGCCGCACCGGCTGTCTAACTCTGTTTCCTGAAATCATGCAAAGCTTCCTCCGGCTCTGTATTTACCACCGGGACATACGGCGAGCCCTTAACGTTTTGGAAGAAGAATGCCACGTGGGACACTACAGGCAGGCAAGCTGTGGAGATCTAATCTTGCAGAAGCAGAACCCTGACACGCGTCTGAAAATAAGCATTTACAGACAGTCAGTGAGAGGCCCATTTCAACATGACGCCAGTTTGATTTAATGAATTCGCTTGTTTAGAAATGACCACGTCCAGTTCACCTTCTCTGGAGGCAGGCAGAGAATCTGACAACGAGGCAGCGGAATTGATCCACCCTCCTCCATTTTATGGAGAGAGCACACCAATCAGGAAAGCTTCAGCCGATTAATAACATCTGTTTTCTCACACATCAAAATTGCACAGACACCCTTTTTTTTTTTTTTTTTTATAACTTTAGCATATAGATCATGGCACCTTCTATTAAAAGGCATCGCATGAGACTTCAGTACTCATCAGTACACTAAAGAACATTTTCAAAGGCACCAATATGTTGCTTATATAAGTTACACTTAAAAAAAAAAGACTAAATAATATTTTTGCCTTTAATTCTTGCCACTGTTTATAATAAAAAAATAACAAGTAATACCATTAGCTTAGAAAAATGCTGTATAAAAGATTGGATACTTTTCATCTGTGATCTTTCCGGTTTTTCAGGAAGGCGAGGCTTTGCTGTATGAGTTTGAATATGACCTCGTCTCCATTATTTAGTCACTGTACCAGGCTGTAAAGCGGGCACAGTGAGAGTATGACTTGCTGAGTGTGAACAGAGCTCCTCTGTCTGATAACAATAAGAGTGACTGCATGTGCTGAGGGACACTGCGTGTGTGTGTGTGTGTGTGTTTGTGTGTATGAACGCTCACGCCACTGTTGCCTGATTTACATAGATGCAATCTCACCTTGCTTATGCCACGCATTTTTTAAGACAGGCCGGGCACAGAAAAAGAAAAAAAAAAAGGGGGGGGGG